TATAAATGTTCGGAAGTGAATTCCGAAAATGTTTTCAAAATGCTGTGTTTGCTGGGTACATGTACTTTACAAACAAGACATGAGGGAAATTTTGGGAGGCCCAGAGCCCCTGCACTACAAGAAAGGGTGTGACTGAAATGCGCAATACACTGCAATACAGCGCAATACACTTGATAACACAAGTCCAGTTGCAAGTAAACACAGGAAAGGGTAATCTCAAATAAATTATGGTGATATAAAAGCAAAATATAGTGCATAGTAATTAATATTGCTGATACAACTTGACAATTTTTTCGTTGTTTGGTCAGCCGACATGTTGGCGAGTAGCTCTTCTTGGCCAGTAATATATCCAAGAAGAGCCACTCGCCAACATGTCTGCCAACCCGACAATATAAAGTCTTGCTGATTTGTTAAGTTATATCAACGATATTGACTTACCTAGTAATATAGGTTGTTTTTATATCACCCTGCATTGCTGGGAATGGTCATTTCTTTTGTGTAATTGCAACTGGATTTGATTTTTGAAGTGTATTGCACTGTGTTGCGGTGTATTGCGCATTTCAGTCACACCGTGTTTGGGTCAAGAAACATGCAGTTCCACTGCATTTTGTGCACAGATTGCTGGTATTGCTTGGTATTGGGGATATTTGCCTGACATTGCATGCAGCTTGCTGACTTAAAGATTGTATTGAGGAATTCTGTCTGCTTGACTGCATCATCAAGGTGCTTTTGTAGATTGGTGATGGCAGAGTTTCTGTGATTAACCCTGCTGCTACCATGGCCAGCTGTGGACCTTTTTCACTAGCTTTAAACTTAACTTAAAACTTTAAACTAAATTCAAAAAGGGAGGAGAGAAATAAGCATTGTACCAATGTTAAATGTAAATAATCAAAAAGAGGATGGTTGACTCAAACACTTGCCTGTTTTATGTACTTCTTCTAGTAGTTCTACAGTCTCATGGTTTGTAATAAATTTTCCAGGTTAACTGTGCTCTTATTTGTAGGACTGACACTATGGGTAAGGTGAAAAGACTCAGGCAAAAATTCCACAATGCTGCTGTAAAATCAAAGGATACTGCCACTGGCAAAGTATCAACAGAAGAGAGGGATCAGAACGAGGTAAGGCTTCCATACCTTCAGGCCCAAACTTAAACATCATACTAACAGTTTACATGGTTAATGCTGATTCAGCGCCGTGCCAACTGCCATTTTGTAAATATGGTAAGTACGTAATACTGGCCACTTTTTGTGGTTTTACTTTTGCAGATTCTTAGTCCCAGGTACCCTGCAGGGCTAGTAGACTAAAAAGTTTTTGGACACAGACTGGTTTAATGACAAAATATGTAGATTGCTGATATTGTAATAACATTTTCATTTTGCAATAAAATATCTGTAATGGTCCATTATATTGATCAGTGTATGTGATTTTTTGTGTTGTATTTATTAAAATATTTTTGTTCCAGCCCTTTTCACCAGAATTTCCTTCAGAGGGACTGTTTAGTGGGATTCAGATTCCAGATGGTGTCTTGAAGCAGCAACTTCCAGATGACTTTGACACCAGGAGTGCAATAACAACCAAATCACTGAAGGGACTTCAGTTGAAGAAAAAGGATAAAAAGAAGTTGAGACATGAAATATGGCTGCAAAGTATGTGATTTATGACTGTGAATCAAGAGAATTATATCATTGATGAAGGTTAATGATGTTGAATGGTGTTGGAATGAACGCTTTAATAACTGATGTGATTATTTATGAATCAGCATTGGTTATTGAGTATGGTGTAGCCTCAATGGTTGTATGGTTGATAACAATCTGATTTTAATTAGTAAAATTGATAAACTAACAAGTTGTATTAAATATGGTTGGGTTCATTGTTTACTCCTAATCTGCTTTCTCTGGTACAGGTGTAACCCATTGTCCTAGAATTCCCCTCTATTTGTGGTGAAAGTTGAATTTTGGGTTTCCTCAGATTAATTATTCTGGAAATGTTGGTTTACCTGTTCAGGTCCAACTTGTGGGTACACACCAGGTTTCTTATTTTACAGAGGTTGATGCCATCCAAAGTGCTAAGAAAAAGATGAAAGAAAAGAAGAAGAGAGAACGAAATCCCATTGTAGGGGACATGATGCAACTTGAAGAGACTCTCCCAACCCTAGAACTACTGCTAAAGGGGGATCAAGCACCTAAGGCTGAAGAAAATAAAAGGTAACTTTTAGCAGAGGGAAGCTTATTATTAACCATTTCCTTATGTACCAAGAGCATTGTGAAAAAGAAAGCCCATGGTTTTTAAAATGTTTTTTTGCTTTTCCATGATTGTACTACATTTGGTCTTTGAAGGTTTTGTATTGTTGGTGAGACACTAATGGCATTGGTTGAAGAATAATTGAGACCATATCTTTATTAAACTGTAAGAGAAATGAAAATATGAGGAAGTTTATTTGTTCAAACATTGTCTTTTCATGACAAAAAATGTAAGCTTTTTTTTAACCGATGCAAGGTATTGAAGTTTTTATCATTATTTTCTCAGGTCATCTATAGCATGCAAGAAAAACAAAGGAATTCAGAAAGAAAAGACAAGGCGTAGGCAAATGCAGGAAGACATGAATTTGTTCAAGCAGGTTTTACGGCACCCAGCCTACATGGAGAAACCAGGAGAAACTATGTTAGAACATTTACAGAATAGACTCAAACAAGAGGAAGATATGGATACATGATAATGAGACATTTCCAATTTAAAAAGAGATAAGAGAGAAATAAATTGCAGTATATAATTTATTATTGTATTTTTCTTTTCAAAACACCTTAACAGTTGAAGTTTAACAATTTAAAAAACGATGATATCTTCATATTTTATACGTTTACTATGTAAATCCTGTCATATTTTATCTATGTTGAAAACGTTGTGGAGAGTGACACAAAAACGACACGACTGAGGTAGTATATGCTAGTATTGCACTTACTATGCAATTATTTAATGTAACTTGACACCAGAGAAATTGGGCAATGCCTTTTGAAATAAAACGACCATTTTCCCATTCTTTTCAATGGTGAACGAATCCGTTCCGTTTGTCGATTTTTAGTGTGTTTTAATAACAATCTCTTACCAGATTATAACGGAGGTTGGCCATCTGTTAAGGTCAACGTGACAAGAAAAATTTCAGAATAATTGCAATAACTGCCGTTTTGGTGGTAAAATGAAATTTATTTTATTACTTTGTGTTGTTCACAATGTGTTGATTGTGGAAATTTGTATCTCGTACATGTATAAAGAGTTGTTATCTCTTTAACTTCTTCTTGAAGGTACATGGTGGCATTTGATCGGATTCAGTGGCAATAACATGGCATGAGTACTTGTTTAATATCCACCTTAAAAATCCTACTTCATGGTAAATTCCAAATAAAACGTACAAAATAAGCCGCTTGCAGCTTATGATGTTCCGAGTTATCTGCATATCAACAATTAATATACGTCTACTGATTTCTGCAAGACGCGTACACAAAATAAACTAACCTTGTAATTCTTTTCACATGTAAGCCAGTGTGATAAAAGAACATAGATTTCTCATGATCTGAGTACTGTTTACCAGGGCCACAGATTAATTATGTGCACTTTTCTCCAACACCAGAAATGAGTCCTGAATTAACCAGGGGTATATCTGAGAGTTTGTAGTGAAAAATCAATCTGTGGCCCTGGTAGAGGGTACGATCTTAGTGTCTTCTCTGCAAGTTATTGGTCATTAAACCTGCAATTTAACAGTATAAAATGCTTATATCACATTCTTACATTTTGCTAATTTAACTACTTTGCATAACATCGAATAATAGATGCTAAGCCATATTTTGTGCATGCAGAGTATTATTACATTATATTGTTGTAAATAAATAATATCAATGTCAAATTTCTACTTAGAATGTGCATTATAAATGAATTATAAGAACGTTTAAAAACTTCAATACTGTTTTAAAAAATTGTAATATATATCCACTGATAACACGTAATATACACAAATCGATGACTGTTAAATGTTTTTAAAAGGTTTAGTGCATGCGCATGGCTTGGAGCCAAACTTGATCACATATCCTTCTAGTAAAATAATATCAAACTTCATATATAGTTAACGCGTGTTTTAAGGTTAAAACTATATCACAGTGCTTTCAATGTCAATTCAGAATCGTTCGGTTTTGGTGGTCACCGCATCTTGATCCTTTTCTTTTGTTTGATCGTAAGTGCTGTAAGTGGTCGTCTGCTTCACGTTCAGTTTGGAAGTGGACACGTACTCCTCACTATCTGAGTGCTTCTCTTCAGTGGGCCCTACGGCAGACTGTCTTAGCATTATCTGCTTCAAAAACAATATTGATATGCACACACCTATAATGAAAACCCCCACCAACAGGATCATCAGGGCAATCAGGTCAATTTGAACGTCTAGTATCTGTAAGAGGGCGCTTAATGTCACCATGACAGCATAAACGAAAACGCTTCCCATGATGAACATCACTTGCGCGGCAATGCTGGGCTTCTTCTTAATGTCATACGAGCCGCGGGAGTTGTTACATCGTCTGTCAATGTAGAGAATCAAGTATAAAAGCCCAAACGCCATTAAAGCATAGAGGTAGTAAACGGCGGGAATACGTATTATTTCCTGCATGCGCACCCAGGTTCTCCCCTGGGCATCTGGGATCCAGCTGTAACACCATATTGTTATAGCCAGATAAACCACGAGGGGAAACACTCTCGTCCACCAGGGTATCCTTCTCCAGAATGGCAAAGAGAATATCTGCAAAAATGTGTTTAACATGTCATTTTGGGCTATAACTTATTTAATTGAATTTAATTGAAAATGTCTGTTGATCATGCTCTCATGAGACAACTCCATTTCAAAGATAACATTTATGCTAGTGAAACATTTTTCTTAAGATATTATAATAAAAGATGTCAATTTCTTAGTAAAAGTTGTAATGTAAGTGACGTTTACATGTTTTTTTCTTTTTTTTTTGGATTGAAATGAACACCAAATTAAGAAGATATATGGAACAAAAACATTCAAGTAGTTCTGTCAGTGAAGAGGTGGCCCACCTGAGTAAGTACCAATACCAAGGCGAATCCGAAGACAAACATTGGCCACAACTTTGTCCCCAACATGTCTGGCCCTCCTGTCTGGTACGCAACCACACCCCCGTGCCACGTGACCCATATTTCTAATAGGAGGCGCCAGTATCTGTTCAGATGCATGTTGGTGTACACAAGACTACCTGGAATATGTAATTACTGTATTGTACAAAAATAAAACATGAAAATAGACGGTTATCCATATAAACTGATCCTTTAAAATCAAAATGACACCAAGTGAATAGCATTTATAATTGCCTGCTGCCAAAACCACAATACGCCTCATAGCTCCCATCACTCTTTTAATAAAGTGGTTTATGATTATTTTAAGAATAATTAATAATTGGGGAAGTATGTAATTATATAGCTCCCCAATTATTAATTAGGAAAGTACATAATTATAATAGCGCATACCTTGCAGCATAACCAACCACGTGTGAGCGAACCCCAAAGCATGTCCCCACGTGTTTTCCATGGGGTGATACCAGAACGTATAGATTACAGCCCAGGCAAAGGCATATCCATGGTACTTGCGGAATAAGTTTATAGGGCCGTAGCTAAAGCGCACTTTCCTGCTCTTTGAGCCGTTGTCATGGACGCTGGGCCAACCGAAGATCATCCCTCGCTCTTTGTATTCTAACAGCACGATCAATACCAACATCATGATCACGGAGGCTGGAATATCAAAGTGCAAGGGAAATTTATGAACTGCTCAATTCTATGATATAATACCTCTTCGCGGTAAATTGAGGGAAAAGATAATAATAAGGACCACTGAATTATTTTTTATTTATCTCAATTTTTAATTCAATTTCTATTAACCAATTTCTAATTCTAATTTCCTTTGGAAAACATTTACAACTCTCAAAAGTCACGTGCATGCAGCATGCCCTATTTAACCCCATCCCCTTGGAAATTTTGGTCGGAAAATTTTGGTCATGACTTAGGAGCTAAGGTAAATATTTGTAAAAAAAAGCCTAAAAGATGACAAGGGACAGTTGTTCAAAGAGTCTGTACTTACACTGTGAGCTGGCAATGCTGACATCCTGTGCCAATGCGTCATAGGTGATATGAGTTTGTAGCAGGTGAAGCAGGTGGAAGAACACATTCAGACCTAGTAATATGTAGTTGTGTTTCCCGAGCTTTGTGCTATATTTCTCATTGGGTGTTTCTGCTGCCTGAAAAATTCCCAATTATTTGACAATGACAGCACGAATAAAATGCTTGTTACTGTATAATAAATGCAGAAAATCGGATAAAACTAATAACATCATTAGCAAAATGTCCTAAAAAATTAAATTCAGACTGGTTATTGAAATGAAGCCTACATTCTGCTTTTAACACACAACTGAGCTGAGGACGCACTTTTCAGAACGCAAAATGGGCTTAATTTTGACATTACTAAACGTTAACGCACAAACCTATACCTTGGCCAGTTGTGAATAGAGTATCCCAGCCCACATGAGTAACTGATGACCCACGTAGCTTAACCACATGAAGAGACGGGTGAATGCAGTGACTTGATCCGGCGGCAGTTTCCAGTAATACCAACGGGAATCGGCACCAACGCCGTATCTAAAGCGAATATTCAGTACAAAACAGTTTGCATAATCATTACTAAAAAAAAAGCAAGACGGTGATTCCGCATATATATGTAGGTTCTCTCAAGTATGGAAATGGAATGTCAATTATGAGATTGTAATAAGGTCAGATATATAAAAGCATTTTAATTGAAATCAACCAACTGATCCTTTAAATAGAAAAAGAGGCATTTTCACCCTTCACATTTGTTGGACAGAGTTTAAATTGTACCTGCACACGTTAACGCACAATTAATTACTAATGACTAATTAACTTCAATTTGGGCTCAGATTTGTCACACAGGTATACACCTGTCACAACTTAATGCACACGTGAGGTACATCTACCCTATTAATGTGTTCCACTCATTTACATGTAACTAGGGAATTTGTTTAATTGCCATTGTAAGAGTCAGGTATATCTATGGTTTTATGAAAACATTCACAGTAGAATAGGTCAAAATAAAATACGTCTCATATTTTCGAGATTTGCTTTTCAGCAAAAGTGTATACTGTAACCAAAAGTGTATGATATACCCAACCATGGCACCAGCTTCTGCTATTGCTAATAAAACAATGATCTACAGTAGTCCCGTACCTGCCTTTCACCCCTGGTTCCGGCACATAGGGCTCAGGCCAGAACCTGTCTCTGGACGTTGCACTGGTGTTGTGTGTGTAACCGGACTGAGCGTCCCAGCCACGCATAGCACCTTGAAGATCAAACAGGATTTTACTACATGAATGTATGTGCTATGTTTTGTAACTTATGTAACTAAAAATGATTAATGGCATAGGGCCTAATATGAAAGTTTTCGTTTTTTAAAAACGCAGTATCTCTCAAAAACCTGACATATAAATCAATAAATAAAATCAGGTCATATAGTTAAATTGCAATTATCATTAGTTCTTACAAGTTATTTGTTTCAAGGCTGTGCTTGAGTGGCACAGCCTTTTTATAATACATGTTATCAGAGAGAAAATGATATAAATAAATTACCAAAGCCGAACATCGCCCCTATCAAAGCAGCTATGAAAACGATGCCAGCAAACCACGCCCAGAAATCTTGTCTCTTGTACCAACTCACTGACTCCATGGCGGGATGCTTCTGAAACGACAGATTGAACAACGTGTGAGTAAAAATTATAACTTTTGAACTGATGGTCAGGTGATATGTGTTGTTCTTCAATATTCAAACACTCTGTCCTTAAGGTCCTCATGGTTGGAAGAAAAGTACATTGACGCCACTTTTATGATTTAGGTTTTCTTCTGACAAAAATTCTGTTGTTACCATAATCTGAATTTCAATCTGTAGATCAAGTATATTTTCACCAACTGAATGATCGGCCATATCCAATATGGCATAAAAACTCCCAACGCATCTTGTCTTGTATAACGTACTTCGTGTATACGTCATAACGTTATCTTTACGTCGCATCGAATCGACGTTGAGCACCTTTCTGTTGCACATTGCGCCAGCAGTGCTGGAGATTTAGAAAAAAACGCGACAATTGCTGAATAGATTGGTTCATAAAAGCTTTTCAACAAAAGTGTTTTCAGGTAAAACTGGTTCCTTGCTGGAATGTTAGGTACTTTTGCAATATATGGACCTACCCCCAACACACACACTTGGTGTAAGTCTTGGATTATTTAAATGTGATTTTAATGTAGACTTTGATCAGATCAATGCTTCTATTCAAATGTGTTTGGGAATTTTATTCCACGTTTTTACAAGAAAATTCAAGTCCATTCAAATATGACAGCTGAGGGCAAACTAATTTATTTGAATAGTAGAGGCATTGACAGAAATTGATAAGACACGCAGACCTAAATCTAGCATTGAGACCTAGTGGAGTGCGGTATAGGCCTATATCAAAACCAGATTTACTTTATGTTTACTTTTCCGTTGTATAGCCAACATAGACCTACATGTACCCCTGTATGTGTTGAAAATACGAGGGGATACAAAAATGAAACTCACACAGAAAGAGCAAGCTATTTAAGTTTATACTTCTTCATTTTTCAACAAAGTCGATCCCTTTTTAATTCAATTTACTCATTTGTCCCATCTACAGCGGGGTGACAGAAGCATTGCACCATCTACATCTATGTACTCTGTGACATGGGGACCCATTCGTAAAAAGCGATTCGCGATTTTAACCAGCGGCGAGTTTTCATCCATGTACACTATAAAGGTTGCCATCAAAGGTGTTATGCCCTTCTGGCTGCCAAGTTTCTACCATGTTGAAGGTACTACGCGGGAGCTCAAAAATTGAAGGAAGAAAAGAAACTGTGATTAAAATTAGTTTGCATATTACTTATTAGAAATGCCACTCATTTAATTAACCTTTTAAATTGTCCCCGCGTTCTCTAAAAGGGCAATTTTTTCATTTATCCATTTAATTCTTGCTTTACTGTAACCGCTAGTTATTTTATAGGCCCTACTCCCAACGAAGGTTACGAGCGTACCTATAGAAAAACCAAGCTAGACTAGCCTACCTTCATATCAAACGGAAATCGGGGCAATAAAATGTGAGTAAATTAAAAATGGCTGTGGTCACCCACGATCACCAGCGAACTCAAGTCTGAACTGGACTGTAGGCAACAACAACTCAGACTGACATAATTAACCATTGGAATTATTGCGAGAGTAACTAATTCATAATTCATCAAAATATTTCGAAAATTTAGAAATATGACATACATTGAAAAATGGAGGAGCCTTACCCTTTTCCGCTTTCTGTACAACTGCCTTGTCATTATACCACGGTAGGATCCAGTGTTATATATTCACCACGTGAGTTCCCTACTTTAACTGTAACTATACACAATGTGACCTGACAATCTTTGCACAGTTATATAACTTGCCATCACTGTGGGACTTTGATCACATTGACACGTGTGTATGCCTTTAATAAATCAATCAATGACCTCTTATCTATATTCACTGGGTTAACCTGGGACCTGAGCTTATGTTACGTACAGGTACACATGTTTCTGACCTATTTATAGGGATACGTTACGTGCTGTTTATGTTAACCTGTCCCTCCCCTAACCCCCCCCCCCCAAAA